TCTAGCGCCTTACAGAGTGCAGGCCAGGGGCTGACTGCTGAACAGCCGGCATGCTGACAAGGATGGCCCAGTCTGGGCACACGTGGGGGGTGACAAGAGCAAGGTCTGGAGAAACGGGAGGAGTGGCCGTGACGGAACAGGGACCCCCAACCACCCCAACAAGAGGCAGGGCGGAAGGGGGAGTGAGCTGCAGCGGGGCTAGGACGCTGGGTGGTGGGAAGACGGAGAGGCTGGTTGTGGCCACAGGAGGCAGGGTAACCGTCTCACAGGTGGTGTAGGGGGTGCTGGGAGAGGCTCGGGAGCAAGGGTGCCATGTGAACCAGGGGTTTTGAAGAATGGGAAACACACACAACAGATTTCCAGGCGGCCATATATCTGGAAAGCACTGGGTCTACGTGGCTCTGTGCTTTTCTCCAGAACATTCGGCTGCTTCAGCAGGTGCGCCATCAGGTTAGGGCTGTGTCGCCTACGCTGGCGAATGTTCCACACATACTTGGAAAGAAGTGTGCGTTCTGCTGTTGTCGGGGGATGTCCCAAAGAAGTAGGGTGGGCCTGTGTATTGATGCGGTCCATGCTTCGCTCTCCTCGCTGATTTTCCGTCTCGTGGTCCATCAGCTACCGAGGAGTGTTCGGGCCCAACTGTGACGGCGGGTCGTCTGCTTCTCCTCTCAGTGGTTTCACTTCATGTGCTTTGTAACTCTGCTGTTTGATTGCTGTCGTTGAGTGACAAATACTCTATTGTCATTTCCCCAGATACTGTTTCCATCTCTCCCTCTTCATTCCTGATCTTCCAAGTTTTCTGCTATCATTTTCTTCCTGTTTGAAGAACTTCCTCCAGCAATTATTTTAAAGCAGGTATTGTGGTGAACACTTATCTTAGTTTTCCTTGACCTAAGAATATTTTGCCTTTTTTCTGAAGGGTATTTTTGGTAGATAGAGAATTCTGTTTGACAATTCTTTTCTTTCAACACTTGAAAAATGTGTCACTTCCTTCTGCCCTCCATGTTTCTGATGAGGAAACTGCTGTCATTCAAGTTGTTGTCCCCCCATCAGTAATGCATCGTTTCTATTTTCCATATATATATATTTTGTCTTTAGTTTAGAGAAATTTGATCATGATGTATCTGGTGATAGATTTGGGGGAGTTTATCCTGTTTGGAATTCATCTGGCTTCTTGCATCTGTGGGTTTATCTCTTTCACCAAACTTGGGAAGTTTTCAGCCATCATTTCTTCCAATGGTTATTCAGCCTTACACTCTTTCTCATCTCCTCTGGGGCTCACAAAATGTAGACCTTTGATTATTGTCCCACAGGTCCACGAAGCTCTGTTTGAGGCTCTGTTTTTTTTCAATCTACTTTCTCTCCATTGAAGAGATTTGATTATTTATATTGATGTAGTTTCAAGTTCACTCTTTCCTCTGTCATCTCCATTCCTTTATTAGGTCCATTCAGTGAGTTTTCAATTTCAAATATTGTATTTTCCTGTTCTAATGTGTCCATTTTTTTTTCTTTTTATATCTTCTACTCTTTTGCTGAGACTTCCTATTTTTCCATTTATTTTAAGGGTGTTCAAACTTCTTGATGATGCATTTTTACAATGGCTGCTTTAAAATTTTTCTCAGATAATTTCAATGTCCATGTCATTTAGGTGTTGGTGTCTATTAACTGCCTTTTCTCATTCATGTTAAGACTTTCCTGGTTCTTGGTGTGGTGAGTAAGTTTGTACCCTGGACATTTTACGCATTATGTTATGACTCTGGTTCCTATTTAAAGAGTCTATTTTAGCAGGTAGTTGCCCCATTTAGATCCAGGACACACATCCTAACACTAACTTAGTTTCCTGAAACTTTGCACTGCTATTCTGGTCTGCCCTGCTGTGTGCTGCCTAGAGGCCAGTCTGAAACCTGGGTGGTATTCCACACCACAGTCGTATTCTCAGAGCTTTTGCCACATTGATTCTTGTTGGTCACATGCATAGACTGCTCAGAGGTGCGCCCAGGACTTCATACACGGACTTAAAGATCCCCTTCTCCAGCTCCCTCCTCTCTGTAACCTCCCTCAACTCTCCCGTGTGGAGGAGGGTGCTGCCTCTTTGTTGTTAGTATGGCAGGCATCTCCAGGCTCCCTCCAGCCTCCACGTCTGAAGCATCCAGTGGGGAGCGTTCGGGATTTTACGCGGTGTTCACCTGGGGGAGGGCAGATACACTCAAAGGGATTCCATCCTGCAAGATCACCCTATTCCAGATCCTGCAGCTAGAGAGAGCAGACTTTTCTTGAGCAGGTTTTCTCTTTCTTTCTTTAAATTTGGCTTGTGGTTGCAGGCGGCTCTGGCACTGGTCAGGGCATACAGGGGAGGTGGAACAAACAGGGAACGCTGCTGAGTTCTGCTCTGAGTCCTACGTCCTTATCCAGTCACCTTCTTTTCTCCACCTTTCGGAGTCTTCTGACAGTTGCTTTATGCATTTTGCCCAGGGCTTTTACTTGTAATTAGCAGGAGGAATAGGGTGGAATGGAGTTACTCCATCTTTTCCAGAATCATCAATGATACCTTTTTAAAGAACTTCTTGAGATGGACCATTCTAAAAGTATAGGATATGCATTATATGGCTCACAAAATTCTACAGAGAAAAGCGCCAGTTCTATTCAAAGGATGCCTAAGCTGAAGTCACTCCAAAGTGCAGGCAGGGCTTGAGGGTTTGTTTCAGCCTCCCATCCCAGGAAATGTTCTCTCTGGGTGTCCCCCAAAGAGCACCTCCCTTTCCAGGGGCTGCCTCTATGTTCAGCATCTAGGGTGAAGTTCCCGTCCCAGGTCCCTGTCAGGGACTTGGCCCCCTCATGCCTTCCAGGGAGGCAGTGTGGCACTGGAGCTGTGGTTCTGGGCTTTAGGATCAGACCCCCTCTGTTCTAATTCTGCCTCCATGACCTATTAGCTGTGTGATTTGGGGCTGGGGCTTTATCTCTCTGAGACTCAGTTTTCAACTTGTAAAATAGGGATAATAACACAGAATCCAGCACTTTTTACAACCTCCACCTCTAGCATCTGGTCTGAGCCACCTAGACGATGATGACAGCCTCCCTGCTTCCACTCTCGATCCTTCTTCACTCTTTTCTCCACCCGATACAAAACCTAAAATGAAAGCCACATCATTTCACCCTCCATTCATTTGCTTCCCCAAATCCTCACAATGGACGTGTAGACCCTCCATGACCTGGCCCCTGCTACGCCTTCAGCCTCATCTCCTACCATTCTCTGCTTGCTAACCTCACTCCAGCCACTCTGCCATTCCTTGAACACCCCAAGTGCGCCCCTGCCCCAGGACCTTTGCCCCTGCTCCTGCTGGGAATGGTCTCCTCCCAGATGGAGACAGCACCATGTGGAGGGAAGGGAAAGGCACTGCACCACCTGGGTCTGAATCTTGACTCTGCCATTTGCTACGTATGTGACTTTGGGCAAATTACTTTTTCTATGCTTTGGTTTCATCATATGTAAAATATCATAAAAATAGTATCTGCCTACCTAGTGTTGTTGTCATGAAAATTGAGATTATGTGTGTCAATTCCTCAGAATGGCGCTTGGCACATAATTAGCACTGAATGTGATATATAAAGACATAGATATAATTTACGTAGATCATATTTATAATATATAAGTACAAATATTGTAAATATATATATATATTTTACTCCCCTATTCCTTCAAGTCTTTGCTCCGACGTCAGAGAAGCCTGCCTGGCACCCCACATAACACTCGAAGCCCCCAGCACCACCTGTCCCTCCACGTCTGTCTTCCCACAGCATCCCTCACACCATCCACAGTACGCGGTTATTCCCTTGTTGTCCGTTTCCATCTGTATGGAGGCTCCATGGGAACAAAGAGGCTGTCCATTCTGTTCACTGCTGTCCTCAGCTCCTAGGACAGTGCTGGCCATGCACGGTGTTCGTTAAATACTGGTCAGACGACTGGTGGACGAATGAATGCAAACACTTTCCTCAGAGCACATTTTGAGAACAAACGAGATGATGCATGTTAAGTGCTTAGCACGGTCCCTGCACATATAAGGTACAGTCAGCTATTTTTCAATAAACGTTAACCACTTTTTCACTCCCATTTTTTCACTCTCTGTACGTTCCAAGGGCACAGGGGGGAAGTTAAGCCATATGATGCTCTCCTATCCTAAAGGGGGCAAGTGGGAGGCTCTTCTCGTGATGCAAATTTTAGCAGGAGCCTCAGGAGACAATGGATGGAGGGATTTGACATGAGCGCACCTGTGCTTTAGGAAGGAGCTGTGCTGAAAGTGTATAGGATAAGTTACGGAGGAGTGGGACCGGCCCAGTGGTGCAGCGGTTAAGTGCACACTCTGCTGCAGCAGCCTGGGGTTCGCAGGTTCAAATCCCGGGCGCCCACCGATGCACCGCTTGTCAAGCCATGCTGAGGCGGAGTCCCATATAAAGTAGAGGAAGATGGGCACAGATGTTAGCCCAGGGCCAGTCTCCCTCAGCAAAAATAGGAGGATTCGCATCGGATGTTAGCTCAGGGCTGATCTTTCTCACACACACAAAAAAAATTACAGAGGAGAAACCGGAGGCAGGAGAACTATTAGAGAGATGTTAGGAAAGGTCTCTCAGCCTGACCCACAAGGAGTTTACATTCTGGGCGCAAAGCTTTCACAGGCTTTCAATTCTCTTCAACAGTCCTCACAACTCTAAGAGGGGTAGAGGGGTAGATATCATCCCCATTCTTCTGACCAGGGAACCAAAGCATGAGGTGGTGAAGTAACTCATAAAGACTGAGAAGTGGACCGAGAACTCAAGTCTCCCCTCTACTCCAGAGTCTGCCTGCTCCACTACATGACCTAATCACCAAGATATAAGCTATCCAAACTAACAGTAGTTTGTGATTTGGATAAACTGAAAAATATAAAGTCATTTATCAGTAATCATATACAACTATTTCTTACATTTATTTGATAATAAACATCTTATCTATGTTTTTGAAACAGGGACTTTCAAGATACAGCGATGGGACATAGGCAGACATGACTTCCTTGAATCTGCTCCTGGTTTGGGAATGTTTGTGACGGTTACAACTTACAATGATGAGGTAAAACATTCTTTTATGTTTTGTTACTAAAATTTTTCATTTGCTAAAAATTCATGTTATGTATCCTCACAAACTTTTTAAATCTCTGCATAAGCACTCATTACTCAGCCTTTAGCATTTAATGTATATACCCCTGAATAAGGGACCGCATAGAGATGCAGCAAGTGCCTGCCTGAGCTATGAGCAGAGACCCCTTCACACAAAGTTTAAAAACAACACAAATGGTAGGCCTAGACACATCACCCTGAGGTCTGCTGGGCTTCCTGGGCAGAGGGCAGCCACAGGACCAAAGCACCCCCATGGCTCTGCAGGGCCAGGCTTCATCTGCTTTGCCGGTGCCACAGCCTCAGCCAGGCACGAGGCTCAGATAGGCCCCCTCCTCCCTCCTCTTGTCCTGGCAGTGTGGCAGCCTCTGAGTCCTTCTGGTCTCACTGGGAGTTAGCAGAGTAGAAAGTTCCATGGTCAAGTGGAAAGAATGTGGATTTTGGAGCCAGAGCCAAGTTAAAGTGTAGACTGTCATCTACAAGCTGAATCATGAGCAGGTATTTGACTGCTTTGGTCCTCAGTTTTCTCATCTGTACAATGTATGTAAGAGATGTCTATTCCCCACCGTGCCAATTCAAGCTACCCTGACTTGCTCAGTCCAGTAATTCAAACATAGTTGTAAGAACTACTTCCCTCTGGACTTAGAGTTGCCCAGTGATGTGCTCATGGGTAGCAGGATGGTGGTGGAGCAGAGCCTCGTAGAACAGAACAGGCATCTTCTCCGGCCAGGAGAGGGTACTTGATGTAGATAGGTCAAAGTTCCTATTCTCAGGAAAACTGGACGACTGATTGGTCTGAGCTCAGGGCAGACATTTTGACACCCCTACTCACATGGCGACCGGGAGCTGGGTTACTGGAGACTCCATTCCAACTGGACTGTTGGACACTTGATTCCCGCCTGTGTAGCAGTCTTGTCTTGGCACACTTGGCACCTCCCTGACGACAGCTCTGTGCGGCCCTTTCCTGACCCGTCACCCGTCAGTACGGCTACCCCATCCTCCCCCCACCCGTCCTCCTATCTTCTTGCCCACCTACCCCAATCCAACTCTCCTCTCTTACCTTCCCAGGAGTCCTTCAGGACCAATCTGGAGATGTCGCCAAAGCTTATTAAACCCAGAATCCAAATTTTAGTTGGGCTAAAAACTGTCACAGAAAAACCTATTCACTATTTCTAAAAGACAGAGAAGTTTCCTTCTTTAAAAAACAGGATCGCCTGAAACAATATCCCCTTCCAGAAGGGAGGAGAATTATTTTCATTCATTCTGCAAACATTCAGCAAATATTTATCATGGGCCTAATATATGCCCAACCCAATTCTTGGCCTAGGAGAGAGACAAAATTCTCACCCCATAGGCCTTATTTCCAGGGAGGCTCTCTCCATCTGGAAGTAGGATGACTGGAAGTAGCTCTAGTTTCAACACTTCTTACAGGAGAAGATAACTTTTTAAGATCCCTATCAGCACCCCCACAAGGACTCTGACTGCTCCTACTTGGGCCAATGGTCTGGGGCACAAGGCACTCTAAGTCGCCAATGTCGACCATGAGTCCATTCCCATGGCATGTGATGGACAGCCCAGGGGAATCAAACGGCTGGTAGGGTAGGCAGGGGAGACAATAGCAACAATATATATGTACCATATAATCATATGCATTTTATATTCCATTTTCCATTATTTCATGTCCAATAGTCCTATTCTATTTCGTAGAAGAGGAAACTATGGTTCTGAGAGGTTAAATAACTTATACAAGATCACATCATTAGCAAGTGGCAACATTAAGATTTAAACTTAAGTATGGGGGCCGGCCCCATGGCTTAGTGGTTAAGTGTGCGCGCTCTGCTACTGGCGGCCCGGGTTTGGATCCCAGGTGCACACCAACGCACCGCTTCTCCGGCCATGCTGAGGCCGCGTCCCACATACAGCAACTAGAAGGATGTGCAAATATGACATACAACTATCTACTGGGGTTTTGGGGGGGGGGAAGAGGAGGATTGGCAATAGATGTTAGCTCAGGGCTGGTCTTCCTCAGCAAAAAGAGGAGGATTAGCATGGATGTTAGCTCAGGGCTGATCTTCCTCACAAAAAAATAAACAAATTTTTTTTTAAATAAATAAATAAATAAACTTAAGTATGTTTTTTTCCAATACACCAAACTAATAGGCATTCAAAACATGTTTGCTGACTTGAATATTCATTGGAAGTAGACTATGTAGAATTTTAACATGAAACTAAAGCTCAGAAATTGAATTTAATAGGTGACAAGTAGTCACTGAATATTTTTTCAGGGAAGGGTTCTTTGTTATCCATACAAAATTAGAAATCAATTGTAAACAATAAACAAACACATAGAGACAGAGATTGGATTGGTGGTTACCAGAGGGGAAGGTGGGAGGGAAGAGGGTTAAAGGGATAATTCGGTACATGTGTGTGGTGATGGGTTGTAATTAGTATTTTGGTGATGAACATGATGTAATCTATGCAGAAATGGAAGTATAATGATGTACACCTGAAATTTTTACAATGTTATAAACCAATGTTACTGCAATAAACAAAAAATTTAAAAAAAAATCAATTGTAAAATCTTGAATGTAGTTTTATTTAAGAAAATTTCCCTATCAACAGTCTATTAAAGGAGTACATGGCAAGATCCTTTCACTTTCTCCAAACCAAAACTGAAAGACTTGAAAAAAGATTCTTTATTGTATTTTTCTATGTACATACCTTTTTTTAAATGACTTAATAGACGTTATTTCTTAGAGCAGTTTTAGGTTCACAGCACAATTCATTGGAAGTTCAGAGTGTCTCCACGCCCTCTGCCCCCACACAAACAGAGCCCCTCCTACTATCAGCACCAGACGGTACGTTTGTTAGAATCAATGAACCTCCACAGACATAGTCACCCGAAGTCCACAGTTTACATTAAAGTTTACTAATGGTGTACTTTCTATGGGATTGACAAAGGTATAACAACACGTATCCACATTGTAGTGTCATACAGAGTAGTTTCACTCCCTAAAAATCCTGTGTCCCGCCCACTCATCCCTCTCTCCTCCCCCCCACCCGACAACCACTGATCTTTTTACTGTCTCCATAGTTTTGCCTTTTCCAGAACATCATTGAGTTGGAATCATACCGTGTGTAGCCTTTTCAGATCGGCTTCTTTCACTTAGCAACATACATTTAAGGTTCTTCCATGTCTTTTCCTGGCTTGATAGCTCATTTCTTTTTAGCACTGAATAATATTTTATTGTCAGAATGTATACCATGATTTATCTGTTCACCTGCAGAAGGATATCTTGGTTGCTTCTGTCAGGGGAAGAGGGAGAATCTCCCTCTGCCCTTTTCCTTAAGGTTCTTATGGCTGGCCAAATAATTAACAAGACAGGTTAGCAGGAGAAAATAATACCAAGTTTAATAACATGTATACATGGGAGAAAGCAGGGACACTGCGTTTCTCAACACAATAGCAGAAATTCTCATCTTAAATACCATGTTCAGCCAATGACAAAGGAGGACTTTGGGGGTGGGGGGAGTCAATTACAGGAGATTACCACTAAAGCACAGTAAATAAGAGTAAGGTTATTATACAGATTTAAGGCCTCACCTTCCACATTGATAAGCCTCTAGAAATGAGGCCATCCCCCCTCTTCCCAAAACAGAGAGGGAGATACCTTTACAAATGGAGATTTCCCTTATAAATGTAAATGATTGTCTGGCAACTCCTTGCAGGGCCATCCAGAGAATGTGGCCAGAGAGACAGAACTTCCGATAAGATGGGTTTGTTGGTGCCTTTTCTATTGTAACCTCTATCCTACATTATCTTTACAGCCATCATGATAGATCTATTCCAGGAAGGAGCCACCATGTCAAATTCTTTAGGCAGTTAGTGGGGGAGGTCAAATGTCCCTCAGAGAAAACAATCAAGGTAAAGAGATATATTTTAGGATGGCCAAATCTTGATCTCCCACACTTCCAAATTTTGGCAATTACAAATAAAGCTGCTATAAACATTCATGTGCAGGTTTTCGTGCAGATATAAGTTTCCATCTTATTTGGGTAAATAAATAGCATGATTGCTGGATTGTATGGTAAGAGTATGTTTAGTTTTGTACGAAAGTGCCAAACTGTCTTCCAAAGTCACTGTACCATTTTGCATTCCCACCAGCAACAAGAGCAATGGGGACTCCTGTTGTCCACATCCTAACCAGCATTTCGTGTTGTCAGTTTGGGATTTTTGCCTTTCTCATAGGTGTGAAGTGGTATCTCATTGTTTTTAACTTGCAATTCCCTAATGATAGATGACAAGGAGCATCTTTTCATATGCTTATTTGCCATCTATATGTCTTCTTTGGTGAGGTGTCTAATCAGATCTTTTGCCGATTTTTAAATTGATTTCCTCATTTTCTTGTTTTCAGAGTTCTTTGTGTATTTTGGATAACAGTCCTTTATCAGATATGCCTGTTACAAATATTTACTCCTAGTCTGTGGCTTGTCTCTCTACTCTCTTGACAGTGTCTTTTGCAGAGCAGAAGTTTTTAATTTTAATGAAGTCGAACTTCTCAATTATTTCTTTCATGGATCATGCCTTTGGCTGTATCTAAAAAGTCATAACCAAACCCAAGGGCATCTAGATTTTCTCCCATGTTATCTCCTAGTTTTAGTTTTGCATTTTACATTTAGATCTATGATCCATTTTGAGTTAATTTATGTAAAAGCTATAAGGTCTGTGTCTACATTCATTTCTTTGCATATGGATGTTCAGTTGTTCCAGCACCATTTGTTGATGACTATCTTTTCTCCATTGTATTGTCTTTGCTCCTTTGTCCAAGATCAGTTGACTATATTTGTGTGGGTCTATTTCTGGGCTATCTTGATTCATTGATCTCTTTGTCTGTTCCTTTACCAATACTACACTATCTTGATTACCACAGCTTTATAACAAGTCTGGAAGTTGGG